GGAGGCAAGGTGTAAAAGTTCCAATCCTCTAATGAAGGATTGGTCTTTCCAGTAACCAGTCCACCTATTGAAGCTTTCTAGGAGCCCCATTAAGACTCACTTCATTAACATAATTGAAATAGTGGAAAGGAGCTCTTTGTCAAGAACCAGAGGCAAAGACCAAACATGTATTTCTTATTATACCACACCCACAAATACCTCCTTTCCAACTGCAGCTTGAAACAAGCCTAGGCTATGGGAGAGGAGAAACTTTTAAATAAAATTTGGAGTTTCAATTATTCAACTAAAATGGACATTTTTATTACTGAGATGACATTTTTCTCCTATCTAGAGTGACCGGAGTACTTTTTATTATTAAAAATTAAGTAGAGGGCTTCCCTGGTGGCGCAGTGGTTGAGAGTCTGCCTGCCGATGCAGGGCACACGGGTTCGTGCCCCGGTCCGGGAAGATCCCACATGCCGCGGAGCGGCTGGGCCCGTGAGCCATGGCCGCTGACCCTGCGCGTCCGGAGCTTGTGCTCCGCAACGGGAGAGGCCACAACAGTGAGAGGCCCGTGTACTGCAAAAAAAAAGATGACATTCTCATGGGAGAAGACAGGCAATAAGCAATAAACATAATCCAGGAGTGGAGAAGGGTTCCAGGCAGTGGGTTTGTGTGAGCAGGAGAAAGCGATAATGAAGCTGTGTTTTTGTTTTACCCTTTGAAGTACCTCTCTTTCAACACAACTGTTACATTTGCTGATGCTGCACGTGTAGACAGGACTGTAAGTGTATGCAGGCAGGCACACAACACACACACACACACACACACACACACGCACGCACCTTTCTACCATTTAGGATCTACAGTTGAACTCATCTCCAAGAAATCATTCCTGGTTAGCGCAACTCACTCAGCTCTCTCTCTTGGAATTTCTATAATTCCTCTTTTTCAAACCCTATAATCTAACACTTATGTATGTGAACCAACCATACATCTCCACTGATCTTCTCTTGTTTCATTTACGTGTTTTTGCTTCTCATTCTTATAGTAAGCCTCTCACCAGAAAACAGTGTGTTTTACTTTGGGGTATGTCTCATATATTCCTCCATTGTCACTTAATAAAGGCTGCATGATTGATTGATCAGATATGTCCAAATTTCATGGTAACATCAAAGGTTGGCTAAATATCCATTTTGGTCTAAAACCTAAAGCTAAATCTTTCTGCCTCCTGATGGAAAAGCTGGCCACCTCGGCTCGGCTTTCCAGTTTTATTTGGTTGGTCAATGAACTGTTGAACAGAGTGTGCTAATGAAATAACTAATCTTCATGTGATCTTTTATTGCTGATGAAGGTTAAAATACCAGTGAGGGTGATTTGGTACGTGACATTAGACCTCTTCAGGCACTGCCCTGGGAAGACAGCTTTGGTTAACTTTCATGTTACTCTATAGTTTGTTTTACCTCATAGTCACCAGTAGGCTTGAGTTCTTGGATTACTAACATTCATCGTTTTGCTAATAAAATTTTCTGTAGAACTACGAGAACTTCCCAGACAGCTGGAAGTGTATTTTGAGATCAGCCTCTCTCAAAATTGCTTTTACGAGCAGGGGATGCATTTCATCAGGCCCCCACCCTCTTTGTTAGCACCGCTTTTTCACTTGCTCCTGGATGATGAAGGAAATTAGTCTTATGTTATTAATCCTCCCATCCACCATGGGGGCTGACAGTGTGTTTGAATACTCAAAGGCATGAGACTTCTCAAAAGCATTTTGAGGCTTATCGGTCCATGAAGTCTTGATGTCTCTGTGCGTGGAAAAGATGAATCATATATGTGCATTGAACAGATGAAACTCTATGGTGTCTCTGCAGGTGATACAGGCTTGCCATTCTTGTCCCAAAGCAATCGAAGTTGTCGTCAATGCCTATGAACATATCAGGTGGAACGTAAAGTGGAAAAGAGCTATCCCTGATGATGACTTGGAGGTAAAGCATCAATTCACTTCCTGTGGGTTTTGCTCTAAAGTACTTCCATACTGCAATGGAAGTGCAGGAAATTCTAATTCAAAAAATGGGTTTTGAGAATGCTTTTAAGAATTTGAGGATGCTACTCAAATACAACAAGACAAAGGGTTATAAAATGCAGGTGTGAGAATAAATAAATAAATAAATAAGTAGGTAGTGCTTAGGAGCATCTTGGGAGTTTCTTCATCTAAGGGCAAGTTGAACAGTTATGTAAAGGTGACAGTTTTACTTTCTTCCCATCAATTTAGATGAATTTAATAATAAGAAGAAGAATATTTGGGATTGTTCATATAGCATTTTTATCAGAAGATTAAATTGTTTTGTGTAGATTATGTCACTTTAAAAAATTGCTTTATTATTTATATAGATTAATATTAATAATTATATAGATTAATTAATTATATAGATTATTTCATTCACTTTTAAATAACCTGAAGTCTGTAATAGGCAGGTAACAGAGTATTAACAACTCTGTGATGAGTCATGCAGAAAGCCATTGGCAAAGCTGAGTCCTCATGCTGCACGTGGACTTTGCTGCCTTTGTGAACCAGCCCTTCCACCTAGCCTCATGTTCTTGGTTTTAGCTGTCACAGGGTGTCCCCAGCACAGGAGAGATGTTGGGCACAGAGTACAAAGCTCACTCGGCCTAGAGGCTAATGGTTTAGGTGCAATCTTATTCTGCTACTTATTAGCTATCTTAGCTTTAAAAAGTTACTTAACCTGCCTTAGCTTCATTATTCATGTTTAATTTTGCCTCCCCATCAGAGACTGTGGAAAGCTGCCATTATGTATAAAGTAGGGACTAAACACATCACTATTGTTTTCTATTGATGTAAACTCTGAGGCTTTTCTGACTTTAACATGTCTTGCCTTCCTTTTCAGAGACACTGGGATTTTTACCACTCTCTCTTCACTGTGTGCAGTAACTCTCCAAGGACTCTCATGCATTTATCAAGATGTGCCATTCGAAGAACATTACACAGCAGATGTCACAGAGTAATTCCTTTGCTTTCCCTCCCATTGTCATTGAAAAAGTACTTGCTTTTAGAGCCAGAGGGAATCATTTATTAAGCCTTATGAGACAGAAGATCCCAATCCTAGATGTTTAAGTGGACTCGCTGAGTAGACACAGTTTGCATAAATAAAATGGTACTTGGGTTGATTATAACACTTCAGGGATTTAAAAACACTTTACAAACACTATGTCATTAATCCTAGAGTATCACAGTGAGGGGAAATAAACAAGAGGTAAAGTTAAGGTAGTCTCAAAAACAAGAGCATACCCAGAAGGTCCTGACATAACAATAATACATAATATGTATAGTGCTCTTACTTGGTGCCTGCTATAATTTTGTAAGATTTTTCATATGTTATCTCATTTGAAATGGGACCCAGGTTTTCTTACAACCAATTTCATTCTCTCCCTTATCAGTAATAAGTTTACATTACCGTTCAGTTGGCAAAATGCTAGGCTTTTCGGATGGGCCTCTTAATCTTGGTGTCCTCCACCCACTCCCACTTAGCAGAAATTACTATGGCTAGTTTTTCAAACTCCTTTCCATATATTAAGCTCCTCAACTTACTTTTAGTGAAGAAAGCACGAGCATACTCAAAACAAAGAAATCTTTGAGTCAAATTAGAAATGAAAAACAAAGATCAGTCCACTTGAAAGTCAAAATGGACATTTTAACACTCTCATTGAACCAAAGACTGGAGATGCAAAGATGAGTCCGAAGCGAGGACTCCTGCCCTCCAGGATCTCACCATGTAGCAGAGGATCCGGACATATAAGCAGGGAACTGCAGTGTCAAAGGTCAGGGGCAAGAGTAGAGGTGCAGATTCATTCTTAGTGCTTGCCTTTCAAAGTCATGTTTCTGACATGAAGTGTGGTTTTCTTTGAAGGATGATGATAAAGAGTGAAGAGATTGTGTGTAGTAGAGAGATCTCTGGCTGCTATGAGTGTAAATGTAAATGGATTCACTTTAAGTTTCCAGGCATGTGTACTGATTTTTATTTTAGAATGATTTCATGCGTAGTGCTTTTCCAGACTCCCTGGGGAAAATATTGCACACTCAGTGGCTCCCACGTGTGTGTGACAAGGAAGTTTAGGAAAATGTGTGCAAGGAAACGTGCGAAGGGAAAGACTTAGGTTGATTACTTTGGTCTTTTTATGTAACAGATTGACATTTCAGAGCATTTTAGCTAGAAGATAAGGGGCACTTTGCTGGCGATGGCCAGCTGCAGAAAGCACATGGAAAGACTTTGAAAATGGTAAAAGTTTGAGAAACTTGGAAAGACTAGTGTGTTAATCAGGTTTGTTAGTTTGCAGAAAGAGGAACGTAGATGATTAACCTCTGGACCTCATGGTTTACGAGGCCAACTTCACTTCACTTTTTGTTCTTGCTAATCACTTTTAGATAAGCTCATTGACTCTTAGCATTGCCTTTTAGAGGTTACAGCAGAAGTAATTAAGCACAAACAAATCTATATGCCAGTTATGAGCAGGGTTTGTTGTTGTTGTTGTGGTGGTGGTGGTGGTGTGTGTGTGTGGTTCTCCATCTTGTTTAACCTTAGATGCTTGAGTTTGCAGTAGAGATGATGTCAAATATTCCACTAGCCTGACACCTAGACTCTGCTTCGCATACTGGGATTTGCATATTCCTGGTGCTGTGTAGGAAAAATCATAAGTGGATACAATAATCTTTCTGAAGTATCAGTTCTACTCAGATATTTTGGGAGAAATATTTTATACTAAAATAAGATCTGTATTATGGAATGGAATACTGTATTTGTATGAACTATTCATATAAAATATGATCCTTCAGAAAACAGTTTGCTTACAGCAAGTGGTGTTAGAACACATTCTAGAATGCCAGTCAGAGGTGCTGGGAGAGGATGTTCCTTGCATGGGGAAGTAACATATCTCAGTTGGCCTGCTGTGCTTAAACATTCTGTGTTAATCTAGCATATGATACAGGACTACTTGCTTTGAATGGTTTATTTGTGGATTTAAAGTTATTTCTCCTCGTCTTTGAACTTTCATTTAGAGGACTTAAATAAAGCTCTTCTCTTTCCTTTCATCTTTGTGAGTTATTTGCCAATAAGACTTTTTCCTAGATGACTTTTCAGCAGTTAGACTGCAGAACTCTACATGATTCATTGCTTTATTCAACATTGGGAAAGAAAAAGAGAATGAGGAAATGTGCCTGTAAATAAATAATACTTTCAAAAGAAAGTAAAGGGTAAACACAAATAAAACACAGGCTATTGCTATAGGAACAAGGGTATTTTAATAATAATAAATTGTACTGAATCATACTCTTCCATCTGTCACCATCTCTGTCCTCCTGGGTTTCTAATTTCTTTTCATTCTCACCATTCAAGCAACCATGGGAGAAACAGAGGAAATTATATCCTTACGATACCATTGTTACTTTTTGTAAATAGTCACTTAATGACTGTAGATTACATGGGAAGAAGAATCTTTGATATGAGGGAAGGACCACCCATCCAGTTTTCTCCCTTCTCAGGAGATAGACACACTTGCGTTCTATTTTTTAATCACCTAGTGTTACATTGTCACTTTGTCCTTCCATCCTGAACCCAGCGGCTTCTAATAAAAAACACAGCAGTAAAAAGCTGATTGTAAGGATGAGGAAAATAACAAACCATTTGCAGTGGCTTATCAATGTTGGAAAAATCAGCTGAGCCTTATAGTTTTGTTACTCATCTGATTGTTTATGAAGAACTCTTGAAGTTTTAAACGGCACACCTTCAAAACTTTTTTGAAAAATCCAGTTACTCACTTATTTTCTTTGAAACACGGACACCATAGCTAATATATGGAAGGAATTCATTGTCACTTCCTTTGGAGTATAAACAGATTCATTACAGTTAGATGTTAAGAATTTTGGCTGTGGTGCCTGTCTATCCGGGTTTATATCCTGACTGTCATCCTTATTTGACCCATTATCTAGAGAATATGACATTCTTGCTGCATGCCTCAATTTCCTCATTTTGGGAATGATAATGGTACCTACTTCATAAAACTTTTATATGATTGTTTTGAGGTGCAGGGGAGGAAAAAGTTTTACCTGACTCTTTTAGGGCCCTTGGCTGGGTCAAAGACAGATTAACAGGAGGGAAGCATACAAATTCACTTAATATAAGTTTCACATGACATGGGAGCCTTCATAAGGAAATGAAGACCCTGAAGAAACAGACTTGAGTATTTTTATACTAGGTTTGATGATGAGTGGACTGTTGTGTAGCAATATGATAGGTTAAGGAGTATGAAGTCAGTGTGGTAAACTGGGGGAAACCGGGACCTATTCGTTAGGATTCTTCTTGGTGTCCCTTTGTCTTAGAAGATAAGGATGCTCCTTTCCACCAGATTTAGGGAGGGCACCTCCCACAGGAGGGTTTTATGATTTGTTTCAGGGAAAAGGGGAGGGGATGGTCAGAGTGATCTTCCTGCTTCTGCTGTTTTCTTAAACTCCTTCAGCTTAAGTTAGACACTACGCCAAGGTGCTGTCTATGGGAACAGTGTGTCTGGAGCCCCATCAGAGGGTTAAATTGTTAGTACATTAAAGCACACAGAACAGAGCATGACATTCAGTAAGCGTTTTAATATTATTGTGTTTGTTATTGTCATAACCGTTATTATTTAGGGAGAGCTTTCTATCAGTGAGTAATATTTTCTTAGAGTGAAGCTACAGCTGAAGGTGATATGTGGTAGATTTCTGTTCACTTTGGGAAATACTTTTTGAGCTTCTTCTATGTGCCAGGTGCTTCGTTGGCTGCTGGGAATCAAAGGGGGAACAAGGCAAACCAGGTCCCTGACCTTCCTGGGCTTTTTTGAGGTGGAGGATGGAGACGGAAATAACATTGACGTGGAGGATTAGCAAAGAGGCAAATTGATTAATTTGTGAAACTCTCCCCTTTTGTAAGTGGGTTTATCAAGAATGCAATCACTCCTTTTACTATTTAATGAAGGCTGTGGAGTCACTTGAAAATGTATCCTGTGGATAAAGAGGGTTGATCAGCTGTTTCCATCTTCATGGAGGGAAGAGTAGGTGAAGGTTAACTTTGTAGCAGGAGGAGTATAGATTGGCAATGAGATTCCCAGCAGTGAGGGTTACTGCATATCAGAATGAATGAACAGGGAGGATTGGTGGATTTCACTTAATTATTCTTTCACTTTCAAGAATTTATTCAGTACTAATATGTGTGTGGTTCTGTGCAAAATGTGGAAGGAAGAGGGGAGTATTGGTACCAATTCACTGCAAGATTCACTTGCAGTAGCTCAAAGTTTTTGTTTGCTTGTTTGTTTTTTACTATGTAGTAAGAATAAAAGGTATACAGTGGAAAACACAGGAAGAACACTCTGACATAAATTACAGCAAGATCCTTTTTGACCCACCTCCTAGAGAAATGGAAATAAAAACAAAAATAAACAAATGGGACCTAATGAAACTTCAAAGCTTTTGCACAGCAAAGGAAACCATAAACAAGACCAAAAGACAACCCTCAGAATGGGAGAAAATATTAGCAAATGAAGCAAACGACAAAGGATTAATCTCCAAAATTTACAAGCAGCTCATGCAGCTCAATATCAAAAGCACAAACAACCCAACCCAAAAATGGGCAGAAGAGCTAAATAGACATTTCTCCAGAGAAGATATACAGATTGCCAACAAACACATTAAAGGATGCTCAACATCACTAATCATTAGAGAAATGCAAATCAAAGCTACAATGAGGTATCACCTCACACCGGTCAGAATGGCCATCATCAAAAAATCTAGAAACAATAAATGCTGGAGAGGGTGTTGAGAAAAGGGAACCCTCTTGCCCTGTTGGTGGGAATGTAAATTGATACAGCCACTATGGAGAACAGTATGGAGGTTCCTTAAAAAACTACAAATAGAACTACCATATGACCCAGCAATCCCACTACTGGGCATATACCCTGAGAAAACCATAATTCAAAAAGAGTCATGTACCAAAATGTTCACTGCAGCTCTATTGACAATAGCCAGGACATGGAAGCAACCTAAGTGTCCATCAAC